ATATATATATTATATATATAATATATATATATATATATATATATATATATATATATATATATATTATATATATTTATATATATATATATATATATATATATATATATATATATATATATATATATATATATATATATATATATATATATATATATATATATATATATATATATATACATGATGTGTGGGTGTGTGGTGAACAAATGTGTATGCATTGCCTTTATGTCTTATAAGACATCGAAACAGAAAAATAGATATAAACATCAGCATCTTTCGCCGCTTAGATTTGGACAAAGAATGGCAATTACACCTGGCTTCCGCCGCGCCTTCACTCACCGGTGCATATCTCTTCGTCCTTGGCGTCGGGGATGACGGCGTGGCGTGGGCTGGGGCGTGCTGGGGCTGGACCCGTACCCGGAGTCGGCCGACTGGAAAGCAGTCAACTTCGGGTCCTTTCCGAGAGAGCCGTCGGTGCCAGCGCCCGATCTCGTCGAGGTCCTCTCGCCTCCGGCCGCCTCCTTCCCCGACGACGCTTTTTCCTCGGCGGTCGGGGTCTCTGAGGACGTCTTGGGGGTGTCTGTGGTCTTGGCGGAGGGCGGTCGAGAGGCTCCTTCCCCCTCGCGGTTTTGCCCCTCGTCGCTCGTCTTGCGGCTGGAGGCGAGAGTCCCTTTGGCCGAGTGTTTCGAGGACTTGGGTGACGTCTTTCCGTCCGGCGTGGTTGCCTCGGTGTCCGGCGGTTTCAGGGAGCTCTGGGACTTCGTTTTGTCGGCCGTCGATCTTGGAGGACTCGGCGACCTGCTGAGGGACCTGCTAGCGGACCTGCTAGGCTTCGGTCTGGGCTTCAGAGGTCGTTTGGTTTTCTCCTGCTTCTTGGTTCTCGTTGTGCTTTCTTCGTCGGAGGAGGACGAGGCCGACCTGCTTGCCGAAGGCCGCTGCTTCCTGAGCGGCCGAGCGCGAGGCTCCTGCTGGTCCTCCTTGACCTGCGCGTCCTCCTTCGGCGCCGCTGGCTTCTTAAGCAGCCTCTTAGGTTTGACCTCCGAAGGCTTCTCCTCCTTATCGTCCTCCTTCGCCTTCACTGGCTTCTTCAGACCGCTTCTGGCCTGGAGGAACTGGTCGCCCTGCTTCTGGGGCAGCAGCTGCGCCACGGGCTTCTTCCAGACCTTGATCGTCGGGACCTCCTGGGGCGTCTCCTCCTTCACGGGGTTTGCGGTCTTCGCTGGCCGTTTGAGGATCTTGCGAGCCTCGAGGAACTGGTTGCCGACGGGCTTCTCTGGCGGGACGGCCGGGCCCACCTGACGAGGGCGCTTCAAGGCTCTCTTCTTCGGATGTTCCTCTGGAGACGATACGGCTTCTTGGTTTTGTACAATTTCAGAAGCTTCTGTTGAGAGGGGAAGGTCAAGGGGCTTCTCTTCGCTCGTCTTGTTTTCGTTCTTTGTGTTGTCGTCTAGTTCCTCATGTTTGACCTTTTCTTCTTCTTTCTCTTCTTTCTCTTCTTTCGCGTCCTCGACAGTTTTCCTCGCCGTCTCCCCGCCCATCCATCTCGGTATTCCCGAAACTTTGTTCGACGTTTCTCTCGTTTCCTCCTCCGTCTCCTCCGCTTTCGCCGGCGTCTGCTCAGGCAACTCAATACCTGGTTTGATCAACGTTTTTTCCTCGTCTTGCCTTCCCCCCGACTGACTTAAAGCGCTTGTCTCAGGTATCTCCTTCGACTCGGAGTCTTTTTTCTCCGTCACAGATTGTTTCTCAAGGGTCGGGCCTGATGGAGCCTCGCCTTGAGAGCCTCTCGACGACGGAGCTTTAACTGCTTCCTCTTTCAGCGTGGCTTTCTTCACCTTCTTTTTCGATTTCGGCTTCTTCGTGCTCGCCTTTTCCGCCGCCACGGATTCTTTGTCGTTTTTCGCTTCTGTTTCTTTTTCGCTTCTCTCATTTCCTTCGTCCTTTGAGGGTTCGTTGCTCTCCTCCGACTTTTTGGGACCCAGGAGTAAATCGGGAGAGAGAAGTGAGTCTTTGTTTATCGAGTCATTTTCCTTCTCGGATTTCTTCTTCGACTTCCTGTCTCTGCTCGAGCCCTTCTTGCCCAGAACGAGCTCGGGTGAAAGAAGACTTCTCTCGTCCTCCTTGTCGGAACATTTTGACTTCCTCGAGCCGCTGCCGGAAGTCTTCGCTGACGACCGCTTCTTGCTCGGGTTCCTCTCGATGAATCTCTTGAGCTGAACCACGATCGTCTTGCCTTTCCCGTCGTCGCTCTTCCCTCCTTCGTCTCCGCTCAGGTCCTTCGGGATCAGCGACGGCTTCTTCTCCTTCTTCTTCTTCTTCCAGCTTCCGTCCTCGTTCTGGACCAGTTCCTTCATCTCTTCGTCCGACTCGATGTCAACGTCAGGATGAAGGACGGCGGCGATGATAGCGTCCTTCACTTCCTCGGCGCTCTGCAGCTCCTTCTTCGTCTCGGCCGCCGTCGTCGCCCTCAGGAGCCTCGCGGCAATATCTTCTTCCTCTTCCTCGCGATTAGAACTTTGTGGATTTTCCATTACCTGCTGAGCCTCGCGAGATTCCGGCGGCGAAGTTGGGGAAGTTGCCTCGTCTTTGGGGACGCGACTCGTATCGACGCCGGAGGAAGCGGAGGAGCCGTGGGCGGGCGAGGGGGCGGCGGCGGCGGCGGCGGAGGGGGGAGCTCCACTACTGACGGCGGCGCTGCTGGTGTCCACCTGGAATCTTCTCCGCGTCGGGACATACTCGTACGGGTCGGGCTTCTTGTCCTTCTTCTCCGGCTCCGTGTACTTCTCGATGAGCCTCTGCGCGATGGTCTTGATGGTCTTCTCCTTGACCTTGAAGTGGCTCTCGGGGGACTTCTCCTTCTCGCGCTTGGTGGTGAGGCGGACCAGCGGCCGGTTGCGGGAGATGGAGCCGCCGTCCTCCCTGTTGGCGTCGGCCTTGTAGCCCGTCGGCAGCTTCGGCTTCTGCGTCGTGTTGATGTCCCTCGTGTCGATCTCCCGAGGCCGGTCGCGCCCCTTGTTGATCTTGGCCAGGTAGTGGTCGGCGTAGGTGCCGCCCCCGGTCTTCCCGGCGAACTTGCGCTCGACCGGACTCGACTTCCGCAGGGCGGTGAACCTCGACTTGGGCGGCGGGGGCTTCGACTCGACGGCGTTGAGGCTCTTCAGGAGGCTGGCCGTGTTCCCGGAGAGGAAGCTGGACGACGAGGGCGACTTCTTGATCTTGCTGTCGCCGAAGAGGCCCTTGCTTCCGGCCTCGGGAATGTTGTCGGACGACTTGTACCTCGCCAGGTAGTTCCCGGCCGAGAAGCCCCCGGCCGCCCCCGACGAGTACTTGGACAGGTCGTAGATCCCGCTCGAGGGCTCGTTCTCGGGGATGCCGTACTTGGACCTGCCATAGCCCCCCGTGACGTCCGCCGAGGTCAGCTTCGTCCTGCCGAGGGTGGCGCTCGACCCCACCTCGCCGTACTTGGGCGTGGCGTACGAGGGCGTGGCCACGTACGAGGGCGTGACATAGGTGCTGGAGTTGCTCCTGGCGTAGGGCCGGGTGGCGTAGCTGTTCTGCGTGAGATAGGGCGAGACCGGCATCTTCGATATGTCTTCGGGGCGTCTTGCGAGAAAGGATAACGAGCTCGTTGCGCTTTCTAAGGAGGCTTCGAAGTCCTAGTCAAAGCTCATATACATACAGATACGATGACGTGAATGGCACGATGAAACGCAGATCATAAAAGCACAGCAAATAGAAAAAATCCAAACGCACACCTGTTTATCCCATTCTCTCGGAAGCAATAACCATAAAGCACAACTTGTCAAGGAAACAGTAACTAGAGCACCCACTTAGACGCAGTTACTCGGGTGTCATATGTGTGGAAGAGTGTCATGGGAAGCCATTTTCACGCTTTCGGACAAAGTATCGCCCGTGTCATAATTCATCGACATTTTTACTACAAGGTTTCCATATGTCTTCTTGTGATTTATCTAAATGACCGAAAAAAAAACACAGCCGGATGTATAGTTATCTAAAATGATTCGGTAATTATATCGTTATAATTATGATATGTTAGAAATCACAACACTTTTCCTCCTTTTAAGCACTTTCTACAACTCTTTTTTTGGAATCTGATCCGAAATTATTTAAAACCCGCAACTTTGAATATCACCTTTGTCGTATATCAATATTTATATCACAGACTTACTTTCCTGTTAATTCCTCTTATCTACGTTTATCTACCACGGTATATCCTCTCTCTCGGTATATATCCTCTTCGCTATCCACAAGAGATCATATTCAATCAATCTACCAAACTTTTAACCGATTCACAACCACACAGGCGACACCAACACACACAACACCTCGCCACGAGTGTACTTTCTCTTCTGGCGCCAGAGCACGGGGCACTCTACACAGCCTGCCCCGTCGCCAGCTTAGCCTGATACACACCTCTGGCGCCAGGTTGGGCAAGTGGCGCCAGGGGGATGGGGAAAGGGGGGGAGGATGAGGAGGGAAGAGGGGGGGGCTAGGGGGGATATGGAGGGAAGTGGGGATAAGGAGGGTAGAGAGGAGGTCTAAGGGTGGAGGAGGTGGGGTTGGAAGGTTGGGGTGGGGTTAGGGGGGGGTAGAAGGGAAGGAGGGGAGGGAGGAGGAGTAAGGGGTTATAAGTAGCATGGGGAGGTGAGGGGGGGGGTATGGCGGGGGTAAGGAATAAGAGGCAGGGGGCAGATAGCATGGAAATACTCGCGGCAGAAGGGAAGGATAAACACAAGAGAGAGAAGATGGAGTGTGAAAGAGAGAGACCGAAAAAAAAACAAAAAAGCCAGACGCAGAAAGAGAAGACAGAGACAGACAGACAAATAAGTAGATAGACAGATAGAGAGAGAGACAGACAGACAGATAAGCAGATAGATAGAGAGAGATACAGACAGACAAATAAGTAGATAGAAGATAGAGAGAGAGGGAGACAGCAGACAGATAAGTAGATAGATAGAGACAGACAGAGAGACAAAGAGACAGAGAGATGTTACAAAGCAGGTGGAAAAGACGAAAGCGCGTTGCAAAGGAGGTGATAAAAGTCAAAGCAGGAGAGAAAAGAGAGGAGAGAGGGAGGGCGGGTGAGAGGAGCAGATGGGTGGGAGTGGGCATGAGGAGGGAGGTGGGGAGGGTGAGAGTGGTAGGGGGAGGGAGAGAGGGAAGGCGGGAGAGAGGGGGGGGAGGGTGGTAGGAGAGAGAGAGAAGAGGGAGAGGAGTGCCAGGGGGAGAGAGAAAGGGGGGAGGGAGTGTAGGGGAGAGAGAGAGGGGGGGAGGGCTAGGGGAGAGATAGGGAGGTGAGGGAGGGAGTGCCAGGGGAGAGAGGGAGGTGGGGAAGAGGGAGTGCTAGGGGAGAGAGGGAGAGAAGGGGGGGGGGGGAGAGGAAGGACAAGTTCTGGCAGCGAACTTGGACAGTGGCAGGATGGGAGGTGCGTTGGCGTGCCAGCAAAGATTAAAATAGTCCCCGAACGTGACAGGTGAGTGGGCGGAGTCTGTGGGCGGGGGGAAGGGTGGAGGGGTGGAGAGAGAGTTTGTGGGCGGGGGAGGTGTGGAGAGTTTTGGGCGGGGGGAGGGGTGGAAAGGAGTTGTGGGCGCGGGGGAGGGGTGGAGAGAGAGTTTGTGGGCGGGGTAGAGAGGGAGTTTGTGGGCGGAGTACAGAAAGAAGAGGAGAGAAAGAGCAAAGAGGGAATTATAGAAAGGAAGGAGAAAAAGAAATAGAGGAAAGAGGGAGAGAAAAAGGAAAAAATAGGTCAGAGAGAGAGAAGGGAAAAAGGACGGAAAGGGCAAAGAGGGAATTAGAGGAGAGATAACAAGAAATAGAAAAAGGAAAGTAGTGTAAATAAAAAAGAGATAGAGAATTAAAGAATAGGTAGAGAGAAGAAAGAAAGAGAGATAGGAGAAGAAGACAAGAGAAGGGGAAGAAGGAAGGAGGGAAGGAAATATAAAGGAGAGAGAGAAGGAGAATGGAGAAGAAAGGACAATTTCAAGGCAGACTAAGATATTCTAATAATCTAATAAGAGAAATAACATAATTAGAAAAATATTAGAAAATCGTCATTTTATTCCACTGTAGGGAGGGCGAGACCAGGTGAAGGGGGGGGGAGGGGGGGAGGGTATGGGTCGATGCCGTGCCTGATGGTGCCAAAAGGAATCTCCGTTGCACAGCAGTTGATAAATGTTTAAAGTCGAGTTAGCTTGCAACAGTTTTACCATGGATACAGGATTTTTTTATGCATATCCAGCCATACGCAAAGTTGGAGGTATGTGAGTATATGGGTATGTATAGTTTTTGTGTGGATGGGTGGTGTGTGTGTTTGGTGTGGTGTGTGTGTGTGTGTGTGTGTGTTGTGTGTGTGTGTGTGTGTGTGTGTTGTGTGTGTGTGTGTGTGTGTGTGTGTGTGTGTGTGTGTGTGTGTGTGTGTGTGTGTGTGTGTGTGTGTGTGTGTGTGTGTGTGGTGTGTGTGTGTGTGTGTGTAGTGTGTAGGTGTTGGGTGTGGATACGTATATATAATATATACATATATATATATATATATATATATTATATATATAATATATATATATAATATAATATATATATATATATGTATATGTATATATATATATATATATATATATATATATATATATATATATATATATATATACATATATTATATATATGCATACACACAACATATATATATATATATATATATATATACTATATATATATATATATATATATATATATATATGTATGTATGTATGTATGTATATATACACACACATACACATAATCAAAAATACACCGTGCACGTTTCACCGGCAGAGCGAAGCCCCGCCCACAAACAAACAAACGACCAAATAAATAAACCAAGACCCGATTACCGCCGCACCTCAAAATTAATCACACGCGAAAATCACTCATAA